ACCTGAAGTATTATCTAACCTTGTTGGATAGAAGGATAGAAGACCTGAAGTATTATCTAACCTTGTTGGATAGAAGGATAGAAGACCTGAAGTATTATCTAACCTTGTTGGATAGAAGGATAGAATACCTGAAGTATTATCTAACCTTGTTGGATAGAAGGATAGAAGACCTGAAGTATTATCTAACCTTGTTGGATAGAAGGATAGAAGAGCCGAAGTATTATCTGAAACCATACTTCCTCTTTTCTTCAACGTAGCTTCAGCTTTCTTAAAGTTTGATATAGGACTGTATACAAACACTCTGCAGTACACTTAGCTTGTTAAACAAAAAAGGTCGTATTTAATTCATTACTCAACTCAAACTGAAATTGTCAAATCCTCATATCTTTGTCTCCTGATGTAGTAGAAGTTAGATATTTTCATATTTCACACTGTAAATTATGATCAAAAGGTCACAGTTTGGCACAGTAATGTTTACACCATCAGGTTGAAACGATATAAGGATTCCCTTCATTTAACGGTATTAGCAGGTCTTGAACCACATTTTAAAATTGAATTATCCCACAAACTTAAAACTGTAGATTTCCATGTTTACTAATACAGACATATCAAAGAATTATCAAAATATATACTTTGCTTGTCTGAGTGTTTGTCTGTCCGTTTGTATTCATTATACGCCAAAATGGCTTAACCCTTCAGCCCCAATTTTTTTTGTGGGGCCTCGCGTGACCTCAAGGAAGGTTTATAGATGATCGAATTTAAAAAATTAAAGTAAAATTTTGAAAATGGGCAAAAATGTTATGAAAACCGCATTTTTTGCAAAATTTTTGTTTTTGTTTTTTACAGTACAAAAGATGCTCACAGACAAGGCCACGGCTGAGGTTGAAGATTGGCGCAAAGCGCCTTAAAAGCCTAGTATAAAATAAACAAGCAATGTTTCCTTGTATTCTCTTGATACCACTTGATGGAGTGAACTTGCCCACATTGCTCTGTATTTATTGTACAATTTAGGATTGTACCCTCCCCAGTTCGCACTTTTACATCCTCAAATATAAAGTTTACAGTCCATTACACAGTTTACAGGGCATTGAACTGTTTACAGTGCATTGCACAGTTTACAAGGCATTGCACAGTTTACAAGGCATTGCACAGTTTACAGTGCATCACACAATTTACAGTGCATTACACAGTTTACAGTGCATTACACAGTTTACAGTGCGTTGCACAGTTTACAAGGTATTGAACAGTTTACAGTGCATAGCACAGTTTACAGTGCATTGCACAGTTTACAGTGCATTTCACAGTTTACAGTGCAATTCAAAATTTACAATACATTGCACAGTTTACAGAGCATTGCACAGTTTACAGTGCATTGCACAGTTTACAGTGCATTGCACAGTTTACAGTACATCGCACAGTTTACAGTACATTGCACAGTTTACAGTGCATTGCACAGTTTACAATGCATTGCACAGTTTACATGCATTGCACAGTCTCTACAGTATACTGCACTGTTTAAAGTTTACGTACAGTTAATTTAGTTCAAAGTGTAAACTGTACAACTGTACAGTACATAATTATAATTCGTTTTACTTTAGTATAGTAGAGGTACATAAAAGTTTAATTTAAAGAATGCGCAATTTTCTTCGCATTGCAGTTTTGTTTTTATCTGTTAAGGCTGAACCGATTGAGCCCAAGGGTGTATTTTATTTCAAGTCAGAATTTAAGATATCTAAGATTTGGTAAGTTTAAACGTATACATCTTATAAACCTTAAACCCAAACTTTTTCAAGCCTTAGATATGTCTCACAAGCGACAAATTAATGAAATCCTGCCTAACCTGTGGATGTTGTCCAAGAACGTTAAAAAAGAAAACTGTCAGAAAAATAAGCTCTGGTTGCCGCATGATCAGCTGAATTAATGCCAAGCACTAGATAGCGTACTGCAAGGTTATCAGCTGTTTATTATAGATTTTGTGTCAAAATGATGAGGAGTCAGCATCGTTTTCTGATTTATTATTTTAATATTTTCACATTTTTTAACTTTCACTTTGATTCTTTTCTGTCTTCATTTCTCTGTTAGTTTAGCAACCCACTGTAGGTCTCTAAACAAACTTAAATGTATTTGATTAGAACTGTTTTTAGTATTTGTTTTCTTATTTCAAAATCTGAAAATTTAAATAATGCAATAGATACACATTTCAATTTAAAATAATAATATACAATAACACAAGATGTTAGGTACTTTCACACAGGATTTTTCCCCAAGTGGTATCCTAGCCACAGTGCTTTGTCCCCATTGCTATTATGCCGCAGAAGGTCTAACCTAACTCTTGGGAAGTTGCTTCTTGGGAAATTGCACATTTGGAAAAATACCCTTGGAAAGTTGCCACTTGGGAAAATGCCTTTGGGAAAGAACTTTACACAATACACACAAATAAATAAAAAATAATGAAAATTTTTTTCTCCAAATATTCAGAGGATATTGTAAATCTGAGGGAGCTTAGTTAAATCACAAGCTAATGTTAAGTATCTTTTCCCAGCATAAGGAGATTATAATATTATCTGGGGTGTTCCAAAAAACTGAGTATTGAGTAACATTCTTCAAACAGACTTTTTGGAAACATAATAACAATCAAATCAAAGTTATCTTTGAGTCTTTTTTAATTTCAAATTATTTTTCTTGGATAAACCCAGTGAGGAAATCGCATCTAAATAGTCATAAAATTATCAAGGGGGGATTGAAGGAGGGGGGCCTGGGCCCACGGCCCCCCCCCTGATCTCTTGTAGGAGAGGGGGGGCCGGCTCCCCCCTAAGGAAATTTGTGTACTATGATATGGAATAAAAGCATCAATGAATAAAAGATACCACGAAAATATTTTTGAATAAATGACCTGAACTGAAAAACCTTTTTAAACTAGAAATCTTTGGGATTTTTAAAAGTTTCTATATCAGTTAAGAATTTTTATATTAATTTTTAATTTTTTTTTTAGAGCGAGGATAAACATTCTTTTAGTCTGTTCTAGGTCACGTGACTAAGTTGACTATTACACAGCACAAAAACTATGAAATTATGTCAATTAATTTATTTTTTAGTTCTTAGCATATAATAAAGCAATCAGTGTTAACATTAAAAAAAGCAGTGAATAAAAATAAAAAAAGGCAAAGGAAAGTGTACATAAGATTATTAAAGAAAAATGTTTGATCTTATTTCAAACTTAGTTGAGGATATGACTATGTTGAAAAATAATAATACTAAATTTGTCTAAAAACTATTAGTTTTTGACTTAAACTTGTGGATACGTGTGGTAATTATTGTTTCAAATGTCAAACTTAAAAATTGTTCCAACTTTTTCTTGGGGGATTTTCAATATTTAGAGTTGGTCACCCTGCAGCTTACATTCGGTCATTTAACCCTATATAGGCTGGGGGGGTCTGAATCTACGCATTTAACCCTATATAGGCTGGGGGGGTCTGAATCTACGCATTTAACCCTATATAGGCTGGGGGGGTCTGAATCTACGCATTTATTAAGAGGAAAGCCAAGTTTAAACGGTTTTATCTTTTTATGTAAAGTTTGTTCAAACTAGAATGATAAGGAGTATAAAACGTTAAAATCATGTAAATGAAACTTTTCGTTAAATTCATTTCTCAGAATGATTTTGCATTTAAAACTTTTATAAATTTTAAGGTTTACTTGAAATTACGTCCCTGTCACACCATTTCTTCTCTCTAATTTATAATTCAAATACCAGTTTGGTTGCAAAGAAATAAGGGTTATGAAAGTGTTCACTTGCCTTTAAAACATAAAAACTGGAAAATTAATTTTAAATATTAAATATTTAATTATGATATTTGTGCAGAAATTAGGCAAATTCCCAAACATCTATAAATATATACTTTACTTGTCTGTCTGTCTGTTTGTTTCTTTGTATTTAATAAAAGTAAAAACGGCTAAACCGATTTTTCAAATGTAAATTCAAATAGTTTAAATATAAGATGAAGGTGAGCGGGAGGCACCCTCAGAAGCCTAGTATATCTATAAGATGAAGGTGAGCGGGAGGCACCCTCAGAAGCCTAGTATATCTATAAGATGAAGGTGAGCAGGAGGCACCCTCATAAGCCTAGTATATCTTTAAGTTCCCAATCCAATGTTCTACCCTAAAATTAATAAAAGACAGTGATTAACTGAACATTGTGAACTGGAGGATAGGAGGCCGGGATAAGAGAGTAGGATTTACGAGGCCGGTGTTTCAGGAAGGAGAGGCCGGTGTTTTGAGGTGGCCGGGGAAGGAATTGCGAGGCCTCTTGTTATAGAGAGAGGGATTGGGGGAAGGGGTCTCATGAAACTGTTTAATCCTATGAAGGCTGGGGGGTCTGAATCTACAGATATATAGCCCCCCTTGTCAAAGGCCCAACAGAATAGGCATGTATAGGGTTGAAATGCATGTTCATAGTCCAAATTTTCAAGGCCAGCTCATAGAAGAAAAAAAATTAGACCGATAACTTTAATAGCTCAAGTGCTAGGGAGGGTTGGAATAAATGCCAATAAAAAGGTGCAGATTTTGTCACAAAAAGTTATGGGCTATTTTAGATTTTTTTAACACTGACCAGACCTTTCACCTCCCCACTACCCTATACATTAATAAAAAATTTAATCCTTTTTTCTATTCATTAAAAGTAAAATTTTTCATGGTAATGATGCCAAAAATGAAAGTGTCAGGGCAAAGAAACTAGAGGGGGGGGGGGCTTCCAACAACAGCCCCCACAGCCTGTTTAGGGTTAAGGATAGAATCTAAATCCAGGAAATTGAAATATCAACATTTACTGTTAACAAATATAACACTTTCAAAGAAACTTTCTAGAAAGGGGGGGGGGAGGGATATTTACTGTGAACTGTGAATCCCATAGAAAACATGATTTTCATTCATGATACATTTCTATTACTAGGCTTTCAGGCGCGTTTCACTCCCATCATCTATTTTGATTGAGAACATTTTTATTTGTAGACATTGTAAAACAAAAACAAAAAAGTTTGCGGATTTTATAAAAATAATGTGGATTTTAAAATTGTATGGTTGGAGGCTAAATTCTGAAATGTTGATATTCCATAAACCTTCCCTGGGGTCATGGTGCTATGGAAACCCCTCAACACGGAAACGGACCTAAAAGTGAGTTTGGGTCCGTTTCCTTTTTTTCAAGAATTATCGGAAATCCCTCAAAAACTAAAAAGTGTAGAGGGATTTCCGAATATTTTGGGTCGGTATCTGCTATATTTACATTTGATTCGTTCCCATTTTTTTGGGTCCGTTTCCTCTTTTTTTGGGTCAGTTTCCGGTTTTCAAAAAAATTTTTAAATTCTCAGTTTGTTGATCGGTTTCCCCTTTTTTTAGGTCCGTTTCCTCTTTTTTTGGGTCCGTTTCCGATTTTCAGAAAAAGTTTTAAATTCTCAGTTTGTTGATCTGTTTCCTCTTTTTTTGGGTCCGTTTCCTCTTTTTTTGGGTCAGTTTCCGGTTTTCAGAAAAAGTTTTAAACTCTCAGTTTGTTGATCGGTTTCCCCTTTTTTTTGGGTCCGTTTCCTCTTTTTTTGGGTCGGTTTCCGATTTTCAGAAAAAGTTTTAAATTCTCAGTTTGTTGATCTGTTTCCTCTTTTTTTGGGTCTGTTTCCTCTTTTTTTGAGGAACAGTTTTGACCCAGAAGGAGATGAAAACTCCAATTAAAGCCAAAACCCTAATATTTTATTATAAACCAGATACTAATGAAAACTAATTGAAATTCGAAAATAATGAATTTTTTTCTGAAAACCGGAAACTGACCCAATAAATGAGGGAACAGATCAAAAAAAGGGTACAAACCAATAAAACTGGGATATTAACATTTTTAGAAAACCGGAAACGGGCCCAAATAAAGAGGAAACCTACTAACAAACTGAGATTTTAAAATTTTGTTTTGAAAACCGGAAACAGACCTAAAAAAAGAGAAACCAATCAACAAAATGAAAATTTAAAACTTTTTTTTGAAAACCGGAAACGGACCCAAAAAATGAGGAAACCGATCAACAAACTGAGAATTTAAAACTTTTTCTGAAAACCAGAAACTGACCAAAAAAATGAGGAAACAGACCCAATAAAAGAGGAAACCCATCAAAAAACTGAGATCTTAAAACTTTTTTGAAAACCGGAAACAGACCTAAAAAAAAGAGGAAACCGATCAACAAACTGAGAATTTAAAACTTTTTTTGAAAACTGGAAATGGACCCAAAAAATGAGGAAACGGACCCAAAAAAAAGAGGAAACCGATCAACAAACTGAGTATTTGAAACATTTTTGAAAACCGGAAACGAACCCAAAAAATGAGGAAATGGACCCAAAAAAAAGGAAACCGATTGACAAACTGAGAATTTAAAACTTTTTTTGAAAACTGGAAACGGACCCAAAAAAGAGAAACGGACCCAATAAAAAGAGGAAACCAATCAACAAACTTAGAGTTTACAACTTTTTCTGAAAATCGGAAACGGACCCAAAAAATGAGGAAACGGATCGAAAATATTGGAATATCCCTCAAAAATATTAGGAAATCCCTCAACAAAATAAGACCCTGATAAACCGGAATCTGACCTAAAAATCAGGGAAACGGATAACAAAAACGGGAAATTCCTCTTAAAATTGGATTTGAGGGATTTCAGATAATTTTTGAAAAAACAGGAAACACCTCAAAAAATTCATTTTGGGGAGGTTTCAGTTTTTTTATTCCGTGTTGAGGCGTTTCAATAGCATGTGAGGTTCCAAAAAATATTTTGGTCTGATCTGTTCAGCTGTTTTGACGTATATTGGACACAATCAAACTAACAAACCAACAAGCATACAGATTAACAGAGTATATATATAGATTAGGTGAAAAGGGGTTTTAAGGCCCAGAACTATCAAAACAAATAAGTCAATTAATAATAACTATTAATTTAACTTCTAAGGTTTTCTAAATTGTAGCTAAACAAAATACTTGATTTTCAAGAATAAAATATTTTAAAACCTTTGAATAAGAACTTGAAGATTAAATAGTTGTAGCTCATGGCTTCAATTAAACTAAAATGCTAAGCTTTGGAAGGGAAATTGTTGTGGCTCATAGCTGCCTGCCTTCTCTCTCTACAATAACAAATTCTTATCT